TGCCGTATGATGAGTCCATACGTCATCTCCTCGGCAGCACAGTGGGGGGACGTGCACCCCTGATAGAATCATAGACTGGTTTGGGTGGGAAGGGACCTTAAAGACCATCCAGTGCCACCCCCTGCCCTGGGCAGGGACACCTCCCCCCAGCCCAGGTTGCTCCAAGCCCCGGCCAACCTGGCCTTGAACACCTCCAGGGCTGGGGCAGCCACAGCTTCTCGGGGCAACCTGTTCCAGTGTCTCGGCACCCTCATAGTGAAAAATTTCTTCCGTGGGCTAAAGGTGGTTTCACGGTGCTAACTTCCACTCCTTCCAAGGTTTACAGCACACTTTGGCTCATGGGAGCTTTGTTTATAGATGTCCTGTAATTAAGAGTTTATTTTCTTGGTGTGTATGACAAAACCCTTAGAAGAAGCTGTGGACAAACATCCCACAGACGGGGTACTTCTCCTCGCTCTCTGAAAAGCTACTTCTCAGAAGCATTGACCTTTTTGCAACTCTTAAAATGTCTGCCAGCCCAAGAGAGGTGTACGTTACCAACATGATCCCCCCCCTTTCCTCTCCCCCTTCCCAGACGAGTACGTCGCCAGTTTGCATCTGCCTTCATTTGACGCCCACCTGACGGAACTGACGGACGATCAAGCGAAATACCTGGGACTCAACAAAAACGGGCCTTTCAAACCCAATTATTACAGGTCAGTGCCAGCCGGGGCAGGGAGCCGCCGTCTCCCCACCCAGTAGGTGCTGGTGGGGGCATCTCCTTGCACTGGGACAGCGTCAGTTCCCAGGAGCTGTGTCCCCAAGCACCCACCGCCTCACTGTCCCCTCCCTTCTCTTCTAGATACTGACGGACCATACCCATGAAGGACCAGACCACACAAGGCAACATTAGAGAGATTATTTTTAAAGATCATTTTTATTTTGGTTTACCTTTTTCTTTTCTTTTCTTATTTTTTAACCAACAAAAGAACCTGTTTTTACATTTATCAACGTGATTTTAAGGTCACTTTTATTTTTTATTTTTTTTTTCCCCCCCTTTTATGTGATCACATCTCTGTCCGATCTTGGCAGACGACCTGGGTTTCGCTTCTTGCTTTCGTGTGGCTGAAGCCGCTGGGGGCTCCCAGCCCTGGCTCCCGGGGAGGATTTCCCTTTCCTCATGTGCCAAGGGCAGTTCATTCCTGCAGCGATTTTTATTTTATTCTATTTCATTCTCACCACCTTTCCAGCCCGCGTTAGTCTCGGCCGGGATCCCTGCAGATACGGAGATGCTGTTTTACCTTATCTTATGTTTCTTTCTTTGTGTGGATTATCTGCAACTTCTAAATTGCCTTAAAGAGCCCAGTTTTAGCTGCTAGATCAATGCTCCTAACGCTGCTTGGGAGCAGAGTGGCGCCTGCTGGCCATCTCGCGAATAGGTGACTGTCCCCAAGGTCCCTGCGCTGAGGTGGCCCAGGCTTGGTGGCCGCTGGCCCAAGTTTGGTGGCCGGCTGGGTGCGGGGGAGTTCACTGTTTCAGGGTGCTAATCTGAATTCGGACGGGGGTCGCTTACCCAGCATTATCCTCATCTCTCCTAGGTTCTTTTTTTTTTTTGTTGTTTTTTGTTTTTAGCCAAACTGCACCTTAATTGAGTTAAAAACATTTTCTTTTTGTTTGTTTGTTTTTTCCTCTTTTCCTTTTTGATCCTTAAAAAGATATTTTAAAAGGGGGGGATGATGCGGCTGCCTGTCGAGTCCGGGCGCTCACTGCGTCTGAGCAGACCCGTCTCCCACCGAGAAGCGTGGGGTGGTTTTTAAGGGTGTCTGGGGCGTTTTTTTTTGGGGTGTTTCGCTTTTTCTTTCGAGACGGATGCAGAGATGAGCCTTCCCCGTACCCCAGCTTGGGCCCTCTGCACCACGGACCCCTGCACAAAAGCCCTCAGCTCCCCATCGCTACCCCGGCCCTCGAGCTGGGGCTCTCGCAGCTCTTCCCTGTCCTCTCGCAGCGCGTTTCAGCCGCTCTCATTGCCTCATTCATCCCCTTCCCCATCCTCACCCCATGACGTGTTTCTCTTTTACCATCTCTTACAGCTTGTCCCGACATTGGGGAAGCTCCTTCCAACCCAGTGAGGTTTCTCTTGGCTTTTTTTTTTTTTTTATCCTCCCCAAATTGCCTCTTTCTTCCCCCAGCCAGGGCCGGAGCACGGAGGAAAGGAGGACCCCCGCTGCCTGCGTCTCCCGGTACAGGGATAATGGAGATGCTGTGGTACCCGTCACCGGGGCTGCTCCTTCACCTCTGGCCACCCTGTCCCGTGGACCGGCATTGCCTTTTTAGTGGCTGGGTCCCTTCCCGGGGCTTTGCAGGGTTTGGGGTGCCACTGCTTCCCCGGGGGGGATGTGCAAAGCTCCTTCATGGGGATGGGAGGAAGATGGGAGGGATGCTCGTGGCTTTGATTTCCACCCCCTATTCTCCCTTCCTTCCCCCTCCATTTTCCCCTCCTTCTCCTTTGCCTATCCCTCTTTCTCACCCTGCCCCGCTCTCCCCATGGATTTGGGGGATCGCCTGCCTCCCAGGGCCCCCTCCACCCTCCCTCAAACTTCACGGGGTGTCGGGGAGGGGGAATGGACGGACTCAAGGTGGGATGGGTGGCTGCAGGGAGGCAGTGAGGCTGTCCCCCCTTCCCCTTGGGGGGACCCACACCCTGTCCCCTGCGCTTGGGGGTCACGGTCCGTCCCCCCCCCCCTTTCCCATCCCTGTTAGGGTCGAACCTCGGCGTAAGGGCTCCATCTC